ACTATCAGCCTTAAACTCTGAGCATCTTATAACTCCAAGAATCTTTTAACTACTGCATTCTGCCCCCATCATTTGTTTGAAGTTTACTGAGAATTTAGCTGCAAATTTAAATCAACTTCTTTGAACTGATTAATCTATATTTCCTACTGTTGGAGGAAATTAGAAATTTAGAATTTTTCCTAAGGTGAATATGATTTCATAAGACCATAAAATTATTTATTTATAATTGGAAGGGGACTTAGTCCTATATTTCTAATAAAACCCCCTCATTTTACAGATAAGGAAACTTATCTGTAAGAAATTAAACCTATCTAAGGTTACATAGACAGTGAAGGGGTTGGGGATATGAAGGCAGATCCTCTCCAAAGCCAGTTCTCTTTCAAATGTATCATGATATTTCTTAGCAAACACCTTGCAACAATGCAGATTTTGAAGTCAATTTAAACGCATACAAAATAATCCACTGCAATTCAGTTCTACTCAGTACCATGGATTTTGTGTTTCACCAAAAACAGCCTTTAGTTTCCTGAATTTGGGTAATTTAAGTTTTTATCTTATTTTATTTTTGTAACCTGACAGCACACTTTTTTTTAGTGTTTTAGTTTTAGTATTAGTGAGCTTTGGGGAAAGTAAGTAGGGATGTGGATCGTAGACAGTGAAAAAATCTACAATTCTGTAATTTCAAAGCACTCAGGATAAATAGAGTTTTCCAAACACTAAATTCCTCCCTCCACCCTTGGTACAATTTTACAGCTCTTTCATCTGATCTCCTCCAAAATTCCTTAGGTCCCTTTGTCCCCATTTTTTTCCTCTACCTTCCTCTGGAGCTAAAACCTAGGAAGTGATAAGACCTTGGAGCTGTAGTGGAAAATAAGCATGCACATTTGAGCTGCTTTGAAAGTAAACTGTCCAATAGCACTTCTAGGGCTATATCCCAAAGAGATCACACAAATGGGAAAAGGACCTACATGTACCAAAATATTCATAGCAGCTCTTTTTGTGGTGGGAAAGAATTGGAAATTAAGAAAATGCCCATCAATTGGGGAATGGCTGAGCAAGTTGTGGTATATGAATGTGATGGAATACTATTGTGCTATAAGAAATGATGAACAGGCTGACTTCAGAAAAACCTGGAAAGACTTGTATGGTCTGATGCTGAGTGAAGTGAACAGAACCAAGAGAACATTGTACACAATAACAGTCGTGTTGTGTGATGACTAATATTGATAAACTTAACCCTTCCTGGCAATACAAGGATCTAAGACATCTCCAGAGGCCTTGTGATGGAAAATGCTATCCACATTCAAAGAAAGAACTATGGAAGTCGAATTGCTATTTTTTTCTCTTCTGCTGAGTTTTGTTTCCTCTTTCTCATGGTTCATCCTATTGGTTTTAATTGTTACTTACAACATCACCAATGTGAAAATATGTTTAATATGAATGTAAATGTATAGCCTATATCAGATTGTGCGCTGTCTTGGGGAGCGTGGTGGGGAGGAAGGGGGAGAAAAATTTTAAACTCAAAAGCGTATGGAAGTGATTATTGATAAATCAAAATAAATTAATAAAAAAGATAAAAAAAGAAAGTAAATTGTCTTTGTTTAAATAGTAAGTCAGCAAACATGGCATCCCAGAGGAGAAATAAGACATAAGACACAAGGTAATGAATACTTTGCCTAATTCTCCAGTGAAATAGCAAAAATGGCTCTAGATGCTTGAGTTTCTAGCCAGAGAAATGAAGGTAGCAATAACCACTTGCCACTACAATAACTGGCAAGTACTGCCATATACATTCACTCTAAGACCTACAGAATAAATCAAATGAGGATGCAACTAGGAATGAAGAAGATGACTTCAGATGCTTAAAATTTCCACAAAGCTCCTGGCCTTCTGGTGGAGTAGGCCATCTATAACTATGGCAATAAGGGACATTTTTATGTGGCAATGTGGTAGCTATTATTCATAGAATCATAGAATCCAATGAGTTGGAAGGGACCTTGGTATTCCATTGAACTTTCCACCAAAGGCTCAACCTACCACTACTTAGGAATTCACCCTCTCAGAGCACAAGATTAAAAAGCCATAAAAAGTTTGCCCAAATATATTATGTGGGTATGCACCCTTCAGATTTGGTGAATGTCCCAAGACCTCCCAAATCACCACACCCAGTCCTGATGACCAAACACATTTTCACAATGGAAATGAAGGAGGCCACATCTACTTGCAGCTAAGTGCTACTGTATTCTTGCTTAATATACTTTATATTCTAATCTTCTGTTACTTGTTCAATGACCTATGAGTGCCTTATTTCATTCCAGTATTGAACCTAAGCTAACAGCCACTAAAAAATGTTACCCTCAAATAGGAATCTATATTAATCCCAGTAGTTGACTTTCATCCTCAGCAACTTTCCAGCCAGCTCAACCACAGGCAGTCATAAATAGGCAAAATTATAGAAAATCAGGGGCAAAATATATTTGTGGTATCTACTTGTCATCACAATACTCATTTTTCTTAGTTTACATGATTCTACTATCTATTAAGAGCATGTTACTGGACTATCCTAAATTAGAAGCAGAGGGGAGGGAGGTGGTACAGTGGATAGAGCTTAGGCCTGGGGTCAGAAAGACTCATCTTGCTTGTTCAAATCAGGCCTCAGACACTTACTAACTGTGTGACCCTGGGCAAGTCACTTAACCTCAGTTCCTCATCTGTAAAATAAGCTGGAGAAGGAAATGGCAAATCGCTCCAGTATCTTTGCCAAGAAAACCCTAAATGGGGTCATGAAGAGTTGGACACAACTGAAATGACTGAACAACAAATTAGTACTGATGACTTATTTGATTCAGAAGTGCTTGATGTTTGGGTCAACTAAAAAGATTACCAAGTTTAAATCTGCCCATCGTTTAAATAGAAACCTATAAGATAGACACTTCTAAATTGTTACTATTCAATTTTGGTCAAATGACAAAAGTAATAAAATCTAAGTCTAGTTGCTCTACTCTCTTAAGTTAGCAGAAACAAGTGGAACAAAATACTATGGAATTTTTATATTCCATTGGATATGGATTATTTTAGAGAGCATGATGATTTAACAAGAGGTAGCAAAATATAATGGATAAAGGAAGGGAGTCCTGTTTCTGACGTTTGCCAGCTGTGTGACCATGGGCAAGTCAGCTGACCTCTCTGTGACTCAGTCTCCTCATCTGTAAAATGATGGGATGGGAACTGTACGGCCTCTAACTTTAGTTCTAAATCTATGGTCCTATGAGTTAAACTGAGTGCCCCAGGCATCTCTCTCAAACTATAAAGCTACAGAGGTGTTGCTGATGTGCATCAGGTGGTAGGAGTTTGTACACTAGGAGCTGCCCACACCAATGAAAGAACTTCAAGATATACCTCAAGAGATAATTAGAAACATTCTAGAGTGATATAATCAAGGACTGAGAATTACTATTTTTTACAATCCTGGAGTAAAATCTAGATTTGGACCAAAGCAACAAAAACACAACAGATAAACAAAAATTGAATATTATTACACTTACAGCCTTCAGAACTAAATAATTTTCATTTTTTACTCCAGCACACAACTAGAAAAGTTGAATACACACTACTTAGATCTTGACTGTCACAGAATCTATATAGAGCTTCAGGGTTAATGCAACTAATCAGTTAAGTGAAAAATATATTACTTATGATTCACTTTAATTTAGCAAATCAAATCACAAAACATACTGATATTAATTTCCCTCTTGGAGTTCTAAGAGATCTAAGCAGTTTGCCTTCCCAGGTGAGGATCAGAGAAAACCCTCTTGGCACTCGAAATGATTTGTCTTATGCAGTTAGTATTACTGTCAAACACGTCTCTCCTTTCCCTAGAAAATCAGTTGGCCACCACTGCAGCTACAAATCTGTCAGTGTGGTAGCCAAGAAAAATCTGTTTGCTTTTCAATTCTGAAATTTAAACTCCAGACCAAGATCGTAAACGGTAATGATTCTCTCTCCTAGACTATAACACTCCAGAATGTTTCTAATTATCACATGAGGTAACTTAAAACTATCTCAAAAATTTCCTAGAGAAAATTAGCTTAATTCATATGACTTTTAAAATAAGTACTCTAGCATTTTTGTTTGTTTGTTATTAAGGATGTTTGTTATTTTGTTGTTTGTTATTTTTTTTTATTTAAAGGATATTTGTTATTTGTTGTTAAGGATATTTTTTATCAAGGATAACCCAGTATGTGCTGGCTTAGTTACTAAAGGACTAAAATGACAGTGATATGAAGTCTGCTTGTTTGTTTTCAAGGTGTTTTCCATCCTGAAGACAATGTTACATTGAGGTTCTGGTACTCAAACTACATAGGATTTCTAAGAGATGGTGAGATACCCAAGATGATAGAATATCAAGTCTCAGTCTGGAAGTCACTTATATTTTGGAAAAGTCACTTATACTTCCTGTGCCTCAGTTTACTCATGTGTTAAATGAAGGGACTGGACCAGATGGGCTCCAAGATTCTCTTCCATCTCTAGATCTATGGTTTCCATGGAATCTTATATAGGAGAAGCAGAAAGTCTTATAGCAGAATCACAGTATGAGAGCTCTTTAACATTATCCTTCCATGCCTTTCACCCCTATGAACTACACACCTAAAAGGGATTAAAATTCTGGGAACAGGGAGGGCAGCCAAACAATCTTTCCATTTAGGCAAAGGCTGGGATTCTCCCCAAAGTCTTCCAGTAACCTTTGGCTGGCTATCCCATGCTGGATTGTGAACTCACTAGCTCCATTACTGTGGGAAGGGTGGGAATTGGCCTTGCTTATGTATTTGTTTCTGGCCTGTATTTATAATCAAGGATAGGAACCATTTCAGGAAATAACACTGTTGACATATTTCAAGAAATAACAGTAACACAATTACATGTGACACATTTAACTGAGTCAATAATTCTTATTTTTATCTTGCCAGCAAAGTAAAACTAAAGCATTACAATTTACTTACTTCTAATGAGATTGCCATCTGAACAATTTCCCCAGATGGACTGGTCTTGATTCTCTCCATGCATAAAGAGGCTATTGGTGGGTGGTGTGATAGCTCTCTCTGTATTGTCTTGGTCACATTTTTCTAAATAGAAAAAAAAATAAGTTTACTTTTTGCCACCAAGTTTTCCTGTTTAGGTTCCATTGAATGAATTTGTATCAGCAGAGACTGGCACACAATAGGAACTTAATAAATGCTTTTGATTGACAATGTTTCTTTTATTTCAAGGATCATCAATTTAAATGAAAAGGGGACCACAGAGATCATTTACTCTAACCCCTTTAATTTGAAGGATGAGGAAACTGAGGTTCAGAGAGGTTAAGTTTTTTGCCCAAGGTCACACAGGTAGTAAAAATCAAAGTCAAAACTTGAACCCAGATCTTCTGACTCCAAAGCCAGTGCTCTTTCCACTTCACCATGCTGCAGATGATGAGAATAAATTCAACTTACAGGTTTTCTAGATGCTTAAAGATCTTATGAGATGCAGTGAGACCCTAGGCTTCCAGTACTCTAGGTAACCAAGACTATAAATAGAAGAAAAGGTGCTCCTTGGATAAGAGTTTCCTCTCCCAGTGAAATTACAGCTCCCTGATCTCTATCCTTAAAAGTCGTACTACTTTAGGGAGGAGGAAGAGACTATCTTTTCTAAGTATTGTCTCCAAGTAGCATTAGGGGTTATTATCTCTAAAACTTCTTTAGAAAATTCTATATTTTGCATAATGTTCTAGTGTACCTGTTTAAACACTCCTTGGGTGTTAACTTAATATTGTGATTCCAGCTTTGCTAAGTAAAGTATCTTTTCAAAATGTTTCAAATAAAACAAAACCAAGCAAATCAATTGGAATACTTAGGTTTTCTGCCCATGTGGATGTGTATCTCATGAGCAAATCATTTACTCTGTGGTAATTTCAGAAAGATTGAGGCATTCTGCCAAAAGTCTGTTTTGTATTTCTTATAATTAAACACACGACAATAGAGAAATACCACATGGAACTAAGAGGAGTGGGTTTATAAGAAAAGAGGACCTTCAGTTCTATTACCACTATGAAGGAACCATGAAATATTTTTAAGTAGTAACAAATATAAATTCGGTGAATGCTTAACACTTTTTAGTTTTGTAAAACATTTATACAACACTATTACAAACAGAATATAGAATGATCTTTATGATGTCATGGAATTGATCATTTTTAATGGTAGTTTTAGAAATTTCTATCTTCCAAATGACAATAAACCATTTTGCCAAATGGCCAAATGGAAAAATATTACTATTGTACATAAATTTTAACCAATAATTAGAGAATCTGTGAGTTCATCAATAGGACCTGTGTATCTATCTTCAAGACTCAGTGCTCAGCATCTATTGAAAAGAAAAAGGGAAGGAAGAAGAGGGAGGGAAGAGAAAAAGGAAAATGAAATTTAAGAAGGATAAATGTAAAGTTTTACATCCGGACTCAAAAAACAACTGTACAAGTACAAGATTGGAATGACATGGTTAGATAATAGGCCAGGGACTCCAAGATCAAAGAGTCAACAGTGTCACATAACAGTTAAAAATCAATTTAATCTTACTCTACAGTAATAGAATTGTGGTGTCCAAAAAGAACAACTGATAGTCCCACTGTACCTAATCTGGCCAGATCATAGTGGGAGTTGTATATGCTCAGGTCTGAGTGCCACATTTTGAGGCTTCATTTAGGCTGGATGACCACTTGTTGGGAGAAGCTTCTAGAGGTACAGGTATAGGACAGACTAGATGACTTCTCCTGTGCCTTCTAGTTCTGAGAGTTTGTTTCTGTGAACATGAAAGCTCTACCAAAGAAGTACAAAGGAGCAAAGTCTCATATTTCTTTTACATACTAATATTCGGGAGAGGGGAACAGCTAGGTGGTGCAGTGGATAGCGTGCCAGGTCTGGAGTCAGGAAGATTCATCTTCCTGAATTCAAATCTGGCCTAAGACAATTATTAGCTGTGTGATCTGGCCAAGTCATTTAACCTTGTTTGCCTCAGTTTCCTCATCAGTAAAATAAGACAGAGAAGGAATTGGCAAACCACTCCTCAGAGACATCTAGTCATTAACCCTGAGGTTCTAGAATTTCTATCTGGCAGGGCTGGACCAGGAAGCCACTTGTCCTAAGCCCCAGCATATCGTTTTTATTTAGAACATAACGCTTCCACCCCAAGTCCAGTGTTAGATACAGGATAGGAACTGATTAAATACTATGATTTGAATTTCCCTGACTCTTCACTTCTATGAACTGGATAATCTGTATCAATTAACTGTTCCATGATTTGCTAATATCTATCATTTTATATGATACACATCTCCTTCAATATTCATTTCCACAAAACACTTATGAGGTATATAGCACTATTTTAAACACCACAGTGGAGGTAATAGACTCAATTCCAATCATTGAGAATCTTATGAAGCTTAATTTTATAGAAGCAACCATAATTGACACAATTGTAATCAACAAGATGTACAGCCACAGAAGCAGACAGTCTAGTGGCACATTTCAGTCAACCAATCAGGTTCTGGGTATTAAAACAACTATAAAATCAGTCTCTTTTTCCAGATTTTCACTGCTTATAAAACCATGTATATTAATAGTGGCAATTTGTAACTGCCAAATATTTTGACAGGGCTTATCTACAGCATACACAGAGACATATTCTAAAATAGCATTTCTACTTTAAATATGGGGTGTCCCAATAGTCTTATTAAGGCACTGCACTAAGACTTTAGGGACAACCTCTATATCATGACTCTGAAAGATTTATTCCCCAGATAGATGATCCATATGGAAACATATCATCAGACATTTTATACTTTTCTAGCATTTTTATGTATGCCTCTGGTTGCTTTATTCTTTAGTATTGTAATTTTTCCCTTAAGGAGAATGTCAATATCAATGAAATGGATGTGATAGACTTCCTAAGCTCTTCTTCTCATATAATATAATTGGAACATAATGCTATACAATTATTTTTTTTTAAATTGAGAACACCCTGAATGTTGAAATAGAGCAATGCTACTTATCACCAAGTGTCACAGTATTCTGAATAATCATAGAATATTATCTAATCATCTAATTAATATAAAGGTATGTTTTTTCTGCCAACATGTCAAAGACATCTTAAGAAAAAGGAAAAGAAACACATATATAATTCTACTAACAGAAAAGTTGAAAGAAACAGTGTGGTATAGAGGTTAAAACACTGAAAGAAAATCTGGATTCCAGTTTAGGCAACTAGGTGCCATGGTATATAAAGTGCTAGGCCTGGAACCAGCCAGACCCAAGTTCAAATCCAGCCTTACTTTAGCTGAGTGACCTGAGGTAACTCACAATCCCAGTTTCCTTGACCATAAAATGGGGATAATAATAGCACCCACCTCCTAAGGTTGTTGTGAGGATCAAAGGAGATAATATTTATAAAGCACTTGGCAAAATGCCTGGCACATGGGAGGCCTATACACATGCCAGCCCTTAATATTATTGTTGTTATTACTATTAGTCCTGATTCTACCAATAGATAGCTCTATGTGCATGATCAAGTCACTTAATCTTTCTCAATTTCAACCTCATCTGGAAGATAAGGATAATGAGCCCTGCCCACATCATAAGGAGAGGAAATCATAGATCATAGATGTAGAGAAGGAGAGTACCTTAGAAGCCATGGAGTCTGACCATTTTGCAGATGAAGAAACTGAGGCAAGAGAGAGAAAGTTAACTTGCCAAGTGTCACAAAACTCATAAGTGACTAAGTTGGGATTTGGCCACAGGTGGATTAATTCCAGTCCTGTGTCTATTTGTGAAAGCATCCTGAAATGCGCTATATAAATGTGAAGGATTAATTTATAGATTAAAAACAAGAACAAAAACCAAGAAACTACAAAGATTTTCAAAGTAACACTTGACCAAGGTACAGGGTTGTATTGTCAGTTTTTAAAAACTATTTGCAGAACAGTTCACAGTGAAAAATCTTATCATTTATTCATTTGTCATACTCCCAACTCTTACACTGAGAGTACCACCAATCCTTCCCTTCATATTTAAGTTCCTTCCCAGTGCATCACACCTGCAATGGCTGTACTCTCTTGCCTTCCCTATCTCAGGCCTTCAATGAATTAGCTTAACACTAAATCCTACATTGGAGTCCCCTGCCCCTTATGCTATTAACCATCATGTCGTACCAAGTCACAAACTCATATCACTCCCACCATTTGCCAACTTGCCTCCTATTCACATGCTGGTGGATGGAGCTGGAGGATGTCACAAAACCCTACTGACTGGGTCCACTACAGTTACATGTTACATTATCTTAACTGGGCCCTCACTGCGGGAAGGCAATCTTTTTACGTCTCCCTAATCAACTTAGTCTCCCAATCACCACAGTGGCTATTCAAAAGATTTCCATCCCTTCTCAAGCCTCCCATAGAACTTTCTCTCCCCATCCTTTCTAAAATCACTGAAAAAATTGAGGTTGTTTAATGAAAGTTCCCTCTTCTCCCCTCCATGGTCATCTCACTCAGATGTCTTCCTCCCACTATCTCCTCCTTCACTACCATCTCACGTGAAGAAGTGGCCTTTCTTGTCATGGCAAATCTCTCTATATGCACAAATGACTTCACTCTATTTCATCTGCTCCAGAAGATTTCCCCCGCTCTAACACCACCATTTTCTTACTAAGCTTCAGTCTCTTATCTACTGGTTGATTCTGTACTGCTGAAAAACATGCCCATATCTTCTCTATCTTTAAACCCTCACTTGGTCAACTATTTCCACTATCTTTAGTCCTATATCTCTTCTTCCTTTTGTGGCTATCACCTTCAGAAAGCCGTCCACAAATGGTGCCTTAACTTCCTTGACTTTCACTCTCTTCTAAGCCCTATGGCTTCCAGCTTCATCTTCAAATAAAACTGCTCTCTCCAAAGTTATCAATGATCTTTTAATTGCTAAATCTACTGTTCTTTTCTTATTATATCTTACTTCTCTTCCCACAATCCTTGGTCTAGACAAATCATCCTTTCTTTTCTTCACACAATTAACTTCATTCCCCCCCTCCCCCACACACCTCC